GGCTGACAGGGCTGGCATCGATCCGAGAGATTCGTCGCCTTCCCATGAACAGTAATGGATCGTCCTGAGAGTTTTGCCGAAGATGCCTTAAGTTTTAACTCCAGGTACGTTAGAAATTGATCGTAGGACGTTCTGTTTCGACCTTTGGGGAGCGGAAATCGAATCTTTACAACAGTACGTACGGTTTTGGCATGGGTACGTTAAGTTTATATGGCATTGTGCGTATATGAGGGCATTGTGCATCATGAAAATACTTGAAATATTAAGCTCGAAAAAAAAAGAGAAACCCATGTCTGGACTCCAGAAGTCCTCGTGACCCTACGAAAAAATATTGATAGTTTCTTTGATGTGAAACCTAATAATTTTTACCTATCATTATAAATTGCGTCAATTAGGGCTTACAATTCGTAATAGTGGATTTCTTTTCATTTCCATACAAGAAGCTGTGACATAGACGTGCATATTATATCATGGTTCAGGAGATTTGGAATTTTCCCCCCAGTCTAACATTATCGTCTTTTTATTTTCTTTCTGTATGATATGATACATAAGCGAGAAATCTATGAAAAGAAGGAAAACTAAAGATCCCGAACTATGCATTTCATCGCATGACGTTAATTTGAGTTTAAAAATAAGAGAAACCTGCTGATGGGACTCCGGTCTCCTAAAGAGATGTTGTAACCGGAATGCACATTGAGATTAAGGGAATCTTCAGAAGAATTATTTTCACGGTCTCTTCTTGACTGTCAATAGAAATTCCTTACTCCGTACGTTAGAATAATGAGGAGCGTATTTGGATTTTGTTAAAGGGACGCACTTTTGACTGTCGGACGCATGGATGTGAGAAAAGAGCGCAGAGTTTTGCGGATCGTACGTTAAGTTTTGAAAAATGTCCATCAAGATATGAGATAGGGCTCTAGCAATTGGGAAAGACTGTAATAGATAGGAAGAAATAATCTTTGTAATGTTATTCACACGTAATGGCATACCGTTGATATAAACACCAGGGATTTCAAAATAAATAGTGGCAGATTAATGGTCTGTAATGGCAGATCAATTACACGTAATGGCAAATCACTTACAAGTAATGGGGAAATGACTCATAGCCTACCCCGAAAGATCCGAGAGAGTAAGGCGTTTCCGCTAACCTACGAAACCCGACCCTCCACGTTCGCGACCAGGCTCCACGTTCGCGAACTGTCTCTGCGTTCGCGACCGAACGTCGGAACATTGATCCAACTCACGCGTGGAGGCGTCGAGGGGCAAACCGGCGAAGCGACACGTCCGCACACCGAAATTAAATCGAGGAGACTCCCAAGCGATGAACCGGAGACGATGGACTGGAGGGAGGTGGGGAAGGAGAGGAGGGAAAGGGGGGGGGGGGGGGAGAAGGGGGGATAAGGGCACTGACTCGCTCGCATGCCTCCGAGGGACGGCCGAGGGAACAACGTAACCGGAATCTCTCTCTCGCGTATTTTTTTTCTCTCTCTCGTAGGGAAATTCCATGCGGGGGTTCCATAACGCACTGGTTTTCTTCTTGTGGTAGGCGATGAAATTCGGAGCCGGGAGGGAATTGCGACTCGGTGGGGGATGGATGAAAAGAAGGAAAAAGGGGAAGGAACTGCCAAACTTCTCTCGTTTCGACTGTGAGAAATTCCGCTTCGCTACCGACGGAGTCATTTCCATATTTTACAGCTTATTAAGCTGGTCAAAAGAGGGGAAAAATTTTTTTTTAGATGACTTCAGTTGAGCGACGTTGAGCTCAACGTCGGTACAGATGTTTTTTTTTCGAATTGCTTTGTTCCAGAGTAACAACTTTTCTTTTATTGGGAGGAGGAGTTGCGGGCTTGGAGGTGAAACCGCAGCGTTTCACGGATGAATGCTCCCATCGAAAAAAAAGCAGTTCTTGCATCGCGCTCGGTAAGTGCCGGTATTAATTTACTAACATTATAAAATATTTAACAATTAGCAGTCCAACTCGTGGATCAGCCACGACTGACGGGAGAAAAAAAAAGGCTGAGGGCAACAGGAGGACGGGGGCGACAGAATGAGGGTAACACGAGGAGGAGGGCAACAGGACAGGGAGAAACGGGATGGCGGAATGAGTCCAGTCTATTGCTTCGTTCAGTCCACACCAGATGTCTCTGGCGTGATATCGAGGAAAGACCAGACGAGGAGGAGGTTCCCCTCCGTCATCTACTTCCTCCTCCGAATCGATCGAAATGAAATTCCCTCGGGAGACTTACGCAGAGGAGGAACGGGAGGAGTCTTCCGATCGGGCTCGGCTGGGCTGGTCGTTCCGAGTGCCGTCAGGAGGAGCAGGGTTAATTGATCATTTTTCGGGAAAAGTGATGAATGATTAAATTTTTATAATTAATCAATGATTATCCTGATTAAAAATGATTAAAAAATTAAATACTTCTGAAATGGGTCAGAAAAAGTCAATGAAACGCAAAACAAATGTGCAGTACTTCGCACTTCAAACCGCTGCAAAAGCTCCTCTCTCGAGTGCCAACCCAACAATTAAAAACAACTGAATAAACCCACCATATTTTGAGATCCTGGGTCCTAGATCACAAGTATTAGAATTTTGCTTACCTGAGGCCTAAACTTAGGCTAGGCCTATCTATATCCTCCTAACCTACAGTATCCGATGAGATTAAAACGCTGCGCTTGATTATTTTCATGCAATGAAATTAATCGTTTTTCATCATTTTCCCTTAAAATATTGTTGATTAATTAATGATTAAATTCGAGAAAATTATTAGCGGATCAATTGATAATCAGAACCATCCTCTAGTCAGGCGCAGCAGGGTTGCCGGGATCCGCTAAAGACGAGGCGGTTTTTGGGAACTCGTTTTCGCGCGGTCAGACGAGGATGAAGCTGAGGAATTGCATAAGGCTATCCGACAACCCTGTTTTCGCTATTCCACGAGGGGATGGGGCTGACTTGCCTAAGGTGGAATCATAGAATTAGGATCAAAGTATCTAAAACCTGGATTAGTCCGGATTAACCAGGACTAATCAGATATATCTGGATTAATAAATATAATCTTTAATGGCCTCTTCCATTCCATAAAGTTTTCTAGCATAGACGATTAAAAAAAACTTTGGAAAAGAAAAGTTTTTTTAAAGAAAACTTTTTTTTTTCCAATTCGACTTTCTGAAAAAAAAACCGGAGGGAAAGCTTTCGGGTGCTGGCGAAGCCTTAAACAAGGCATTGCAAGAGCCTTTCTGACGTAATCGATCGCGTAGCAACCCTGCTGGATCGGATTGCCGCGGCGAATGCCGAGATCGCGACAGTCGCAAGGTCGCCACGTCGCATTTCCCATCTTGTCAGCTCGTTCTTTCAATCTTTTTCTCGGGTTACGAGCGAGCACTTCCGCCTGAGGAAGGGAGAAGCTGACGAACGAACGCGGAACTTCCGTGCAAACCGGCCGAAGCTTAGGCCTAATGCAAAAATGTGCATAAATCACTGAAGAAAACTGCACTGCGCCGCATAGCATAAGCGTTCCAGCAGCCAACCGGAGACGAAAGAAACGAGCGACGCGTCACCTGGCAATCACTCGAGGAAGCACGGTTCCTGCGACCCATGCGAGATGTCGCCTCCATCGCCCCTTCACGTGTCATCCTCGTGGACTCCAGTTCCCTTCGCAGTTCGCCTCCGTCGCGCCGATTCTCGCCTAAATGAACGCCGAAAGGTACGTCGAACATTTCATCATTTTTCGGCTCGTGAGTCTTTTTAAGTCGACGCGTTTTCGAGAGACTCATGCGTAGGCCTAAGTCCATTGCGGAATTCCCTTTTCCGATGCGGATCGAAGCGGGAAAGCGCGAAGCTGCAGGATTACTTTCCATGCGGAAATTTGACACGGATGTGTCACTCGATCTTTTCTGTTTTCGCCCGTTTTTTTTTTTTCGCCGATGAAATTTTTACTTTTACCATGAGATTTTAAGCGCCGTTGTCGAAAATTTTTTGAGAAATAAAAATATTCGCCAGCTTCCTTCCAGTTTCCTCAGCTCGTAATGGTAAGTTAAACTTATTTAAATGCGATACCATCAGTGTTGAGCGGTATCGAAGAAAAAAGGAACGCTTTACTGTAACTAATTGCTTTTTTTTTTTTAAACGAGTCACTTTCAGGGAAGAGTAACGGACCTGGCAACTAATTCCATTTTCATGGGAAAAACAAGTGTCGCTACCGTAACGCGTCCCCAACAACCATCCCCTTGCAACTGCATGCATCCCAATCGACGCAAATGGCACTTTCAAGGTGCTTTTCAGTGTGCTTTTCAAGGTGCTTTACAGGGTTTCGCGCTCGATTTCCCAGTAGTGGAGGAAGATCGAAACTCTCGCTCAAGTTACTCGAACGGTGACTTCTACACGGTGAGAAGTAACTCTCCTGGTAACGAATCGCTTTTTGGATGGAATACTTGAATTGTAACTCGTTACTTTTTGGAAGTAACGCGCCCAACTCACCATGTTTTAATCCTCACATCCTCAACAGATCTTGCATTTTCGTTACGCTCGTAAGAACGTTACTAACGTTGCCAAAGAGTTACGTTGCCAACCTACGGATCGAAAATCGGTCAGTCCTAGTTTTATCCTTATTCCATTAATCCTAATCCAATCTTTGAATCCGGTTTGCCCAGATATTGTCTCCATCCAGCCTCCTTTCAGTTGTGATCCCACCGGCACTTCATCGCTCGCTCCTCTGGAATGCGAAAACGAAACGGGGAAATCCCTCGTGACGTCACAGTGGGCAATTTTTCAGGCAGCCTTCGGCACGCGTGACGTCACGAGTCCGGGGTCCCGTCCCGTGGAGGCTGGAGGCAGGGTGGATGCTCGGGTCGTTGGGTTCGACTGTGACTTAGGGGGAGGCAATGACAACCGCATGCTTAATTAAACGGTGGGCCTGGAGGGGGGGCCGAACGTGTTTTGTGGAAGAGATGCTGCGAGGAAAAGCGAATGCGGGAAGGTCGAGTGACGTCATCGAGGAGTTCCAAGATGAATGCCTGCTGTGAGGCACGAGTGTTCCATGCAAGGTGGGGCCTGGAGGCGTGTGTGGGGACGGGGATGAGGAGGCCTTGAAGCGATGCGACGGATTGGGTGCGGGTGCGGGAGTACTACGCCGCGGTCGTTTGTGCTGAGGCGGTTGGCGTACTTGAATGTGATGAGATTGGTGCTTGTTCGTGCGTCGTCCCGGTGTTTTGACGTCGGCCTCGCCGTTGTGATTCGCAAGCCGTAGGTTCTACTTTGTATCGGGTCATGAGGAATGTCGTCAGGTTCTTTGCCGGTGCGTGGCCTCGGCCTAACGCATGGCTTCGGTCTTATCGACATGCAGACTGTTGGTTTCTGCCAGAGAAACAGGAACTCTTGACTGCAGCAACGGGCTCAGTCCTCGGCCTGACGAGTTGTTATCCTACTCCACTGCCCAGCATCAGGCTCAGAAGCGATGCGGTCGCGGACGCCTCGCCAAATTCCCAGTGCAATTCTCGTCTGGAACTTCCCGGTGCCTTGTTTAGGCCAAACGCTAGTGACAAAACTGCTATCGGGGACAATCACGAGCACATATGGATTTGCGATCCATCCAAAGTCCAAGGTGCATCCACTCTGGTTCCTTCCATCTGTTGCAACACCGATCAGCCGGCCAGAAAGAGCCAGAAAGGACCGATGCCATGCCTAAACGTAGGCCTTCCGTGCACAATCTCGTCACACGGTGTCTTTGGAGCAGGAGTAAGACGGTCGTTATCGATGCCTCCAGTAAGAAGTTCTCATTTCCATAAAAAATTTGCAAAGCCTTTCTTGCCATTCAAGTCTTCCACTATTATGTACTCCTCAACTACAACTTCCCTGGGTGATCAAGAGAGAGCTCAGTCAGAGTGTGAAATTGAAGACATATCTGTTCTCAAGCTGGAACTGAGTGCCCTGTATAATGATATCAGAGAGGTAGGCTTTACCATGTGTTTTGAGATAAAGTGAAGCCTAGAGCTTCAGGTTCACAATTTATATTGTTTCAATCACCACCTAAATACAGACTGCATGATTTTCTCTTTTTGCAGGCTCTCAAGACCTGGAACGAGGAGGTGTACGAGCTTGCGACATATCATTTTGACGGTAACGGGAAGGCGCTACGCCCCCATGTGGTGCTTCTCTTGGCCAATGCAATAAACTTTCATTTGGGTCTTTCATCCGAGCGGCAATCAACCGTATGCAAAGCGCAGAAGCAGGTGGCAATGGTGGCCGAAATGATCCACACTGCATCGCTCATTCATGACGATGTGGTGGATCGTTCGGATCTGCGTCGTGGAAAGCCCAGTGCCGCGAGGAGATGGGGACAGAAAAAGGTCTGAAGGTGTAACTTTGTAAGACCTGCCTAGTTTTTAGCAGAGATGTCAAACTTTGAGTGCTCAGGGAGACCGATTGATACCTTTCTTAAAATGTCTCATTGTTGGTGCCCTCAAGATGGGACCACTTGTTCTGCTGATGCAGCAAGATTGTTTCCTTCCAGGTAGTTTTACCATTAATCCCTGGTATCAAGAGTCCAGATTTGGATATTTTGCTATGGCCTCCCCCCACCCAAAATGCATCTATGTCCAATACAAAAGAGGAGGATTCATCAAACCAGATTTGTAGTTGAGGATAACACTAAATTAATATTTTAAAAAGTGGAAATATTTCACTGGCCCAAATTTGAATGGGTCTTTATGTTACACACCTAGTAACCTATTTTTCATGCAGATATAAGTGACATTCCTAATGTTTAATGGTAGTGGTACAAACTTTTTCGACCACAGGACTGTAATTAGGGGAGACTCACATTATGTTGGCCATACTGGAAAAAAAAGGCTTGCTAGTACTAATAATAAATTTCCTGTTTGCTAGAAAGTATGCTTTGTCTTAACAGGCCATATGTGAGGCCTTTGCAAGCCATGGTTTCAATATCATTATTTTATAGGATCCTATGGATTAGTCTATGCTGGGACCTACTCAAAAGTGATGATGCTTGCAGGCAGTTCTGGCTGGAGATTACATATTGGGGATATCGTCTGACATCCTTGCCAAGATTGGGAACCCACATGTTGTTATAGTTTTATCTCAGGTGAGGATGCCATCAATCATCCTTAGATTTTTGCCTCTTTCTGATTAAAACATCTGATTTTAACTGTTAATGATGTTAATATTTTTTTTACCATATTACCATAATTTTATTTTTACGTAAACAAGTTTTTGCAGGTTTCAAAATGCACGAATGAAACATACAGGGTGTCCTGTAAGTCACTTTACCTTTTCAAATTGCAGTATTTTCCAAACTGCAACAAGCAGGTCACTGTTTTTAACATTGTTGGATAGAATGTTCTTTATAAATTTTTTCACAGTAATGACTTTGTATCCAATTCAAACAGAAATTGCTTCAAATGCTTATTAGAAAGGTGTACCTGTTTGGCACACCATTACCTATTCTTAGACTTAAGAGCAGAGAAATACATAACTTTATTCAGTTTGCTTTTATTGCCATGAGAAAAGACTTAGCAATTGGTTACTTTAGCAATGAATAAATGTTTCCATTTGGTTGGAGGTCTTTGAGAGTCCTGTTTGAGTTTGAAAGGAATTTGGTGATTTCTTGGCACCAGCCAAATGTATTGGTGTAGACAAGGGAATTTTGAGGCACTTTCAAAAATTAGAATTGCTTCCATTTTTGACAAAGATAACTCCAAATTGCATGCTATAGTTCAGTTCATGCTACTCCTTTTTTGTGCCAACTGTTAAGTAGATGTGATTTTTTTTTAATGGTATAGTGACTTACAGGACATCCTGTATGTTGGTGCATGCAATCAAACCAAGGTGATTCAGTATGCCAGTTCTAGCTGAGGAAAGGTCATTGATGCAGAAAAAGAAAGGAATTAGATCTAGGCCTCCAGCAATCAGGCTAATGGGGAAAGATGTGGCCATAAAGACCTAATATTCATGGAGGTGAATGGGAGTAGGTGAGTTAATGGACAAGAAAAAAAAACCAGAGGATTTAAATTGTACTTGTAGCTGGAGATAAAGTGAAGCATTTACATTTTTTTATAACCTGTGTTCCATCTGTGGCAAGGAGGAAGCACTTTTTAAAATTGGGTGTGAGAAGGGGGAAGTTCTTCCATTATCTGCTGTCATCAAGAAAGCTGTGTGTAGAAAAAAAGTCTTAGTTATGCTGGCATTCTGACATTTTCTGGCTTGCCACAAAATATGGGGTTATATTAAAATATGAGGTTGTATTAAAATGCTAAACATGACTGAGAGTTTATCATGTTCCAGGGATCGCTAAACTGATTTTCTTTTTCAATAGGTGCTAGTTGATCTTGTACAAGGAGAAATGATGCAGCTTGGCACCAAAGAAGGGGAAAATGACCGTTTTGCTCACTACCTAAAGAAAACCTACAATAAAACGGCTTCCCTCTTTGCCAACTCAGCAAAAGCTGTAAGAGCACTGCCCCTTTGCCTGTATTTGGCATCCTGCTCCAGCACGATGAACTCAAAGCCCAATTTCACATGTGATACAGGTAGCAATACTCGCTGAAGCATCCGAGGAACTGCAGGAGACTGCATATCTTATAGGAAAGTACTTGGGGCTGTCATTTCAAGTCGTGGATGACATCCTGGACTTTGAATCCAGTACAGAACTCCTTGGGAAACCAGCTGCTGCCGACCTCAAACTTGGCATTGCAACTGCCCCCGTCCTGTTTGCAAGTGAAAAGGTAGGTTTCGTTTCATGTTGTTATCCTGTTTCTATGTATTATCTATGAGTCCTTATTGAGTAAATAATTGTTGACCTATGTGGTCAATGCATATCAAGGTCAGTCAAACTAGGCTGGAATGGAGAACCTGCGACTCAGACAACTCAAAGTATTTCAAGTTATTGATATATAGAAAATCTTGTCAATTGAAAGGAGGTCTCTATTCTGCAAGGCCTTTTCAGTTTCCTGATTTCTTCATTCCAGCATCCGGAGTTGAACGAGATGATCGTGCGTCGTTTTGAGTGGCCCGGAGACGTGGAGCACGCCTTTGAGTGCGTTCTTGCCTCCGATGGCTTGGAGCAATCACGACTCCTGGCCAAGCGATTTTGCCAAGAAGCAAAGAAACACCTGGCAGAGTTGTCCACTTCTGCCTACCAGTTGGCACTAGAGAGCATCATGGATGGTGCCGTGTTCAGGAAGAAGTGATTCTTGACCCCAGATCCAAGCGATGCATCTTCCCGCCGTCCCCAATTGATGCTTCTGATCAGTCGTGCTGCCATTTAGAAAGTTGCTTAAGTTGCACTGTAGCTGCTTTGTTCATGAAGTTTATTCAACCATAGATTGATTTTTTGGTCAAACACCACCATTAATGGTCCTTATTGTATAGCTGTGTGACAATTTTTTTCTGCTTCCTGATTTGAGGCTTGAAATCAAGCACAAATTAAGGCACTTTTTTGCATTGATGCAATTACTTAGTTTGCAGAGTTGCAAATCAAGAAAAGTCATGCATGTTTGTGAAAGCAACTCTGGGTGCTACAGGTATGAAATTGATTTAATTCCATGTTTCACTTTTGGACACGGAACCATCCAATCACCCGACAATTCCTCAAGGTGTCAGATTTGACGCGGTGCCATGCTTTTCGCTGTGGGCTTCTCACAGCCATCCCAGTCACTTTTCCTTGCGGTAACCGTGGTGTTTGTGGGCTCATATTGTGGCCTTACTCTAGTCTCTTGGAGATCACCACATACCAATAGGCAATTCATTGCAAATGAATTTCGTAGCTGTGATCCTTACCTCGAGATAGTAGTAATAAAGAGGTTTGAATTATATACTAAACTGTTTCTCTACTCCTCCATGCACATGAAGACTGTTGCGTGCTCTTGCTTTTTTTTAAAAGTTAGGTAACTTTCACGTTGCAACTTGATGAAATGACAAGATGCCACAATTAGTGAAACAAATGTACGTGGTTCAAAATGAAATTCTACCAAATTCAAAACATTCACACTTCAAAGGATTTTTTTTGCTTGGTCTTTTTTCTGTAAAGTTTGACTGCCTAGTACCATTGAAAAACATGCCCATAAAAATTCCACTGAATTTGTAACCTGGCGACTCACACCTAATTTAAAAACGTAAAAAAAAACTTTGAAAACATCACACCTAAAATGCGCATTGAAAAGTGTGTCTTTTTTTTTTTTGGTCCACCCTGTAGAAGTAGTTCGACCTCTGCCCTTGTACAGGGTGCCAAACAATGATAGCCCCCCCCTCCCCAGAGTAAACGAAGCCTGGTAGGAAAAAAATGAAAATACCAATAGGTAGCA